ACTCAGCACCAACTTCACGGAGAAGCAAGGCCGCCTTCGGTCCCAGCAAGCAGCGATGAAAAGAACGGCCCAGGCGTCTGCTGGAGGGCACCAGCCAAGGGCAGCGGGAGCGAGTCAGGCAACAGGTAGGGAAGGCGCGGGGGCTGGGGGCTGACACTCTGCTGGAGCCCTCTGAGGGGCAGTGGGCCTTCAAGAAAGGCGTGGGGAGGCGGTGGACCCTCTGCCCGAAGCCAGCCAAGGAGCACGCGAGTCTTCGAGGTCTGGCTGAAGCAGCGGGCCAGGGCGCATCGCCATCTCGGGCAATGCAGAGCTGCTCAGCACGGTTAGCGAGGGCTGGGTACGAGGCACGCCAGGACGGTCTACAGTAAGAACTCTCTGCTGAAAGAGAAAGGAACTAGAAGAAGAACGTGACCAACTGCTATAGATTCCAGAGGTTGGGGCTGGAACCAAGGCCTTAGTGATAGGGGCAGAGTCAACAAGACGTGGCCAAGGAGTACTTCCGAGTGTCAGGTGACTGGTTAACTGACTGGCTATGAGGAAGGCAGCGTAAGGATTCCCGGGCTTCGTCATTTTTTTTTTTCATAAAGAATTATTTTTTAATTTAATTTTATTCATCATTATTATTTTTTTTCTTTTTGGGGGGAGGTTTATGCTATAGGGTGCGTGTGCTCACTAGACAGACAGAGACAGAGAGACAGAAAGCGAGAAATCACCCCCCAGGGGGGATGGCCACGCCGCAATCCCTTCTCCTCCATTCTCCTCTCGGGATCTTGGGCATGCACGCACACGCACCTGGCGTGAGTTTAAGCCACTGGGTCCAGGACTCGAACCGTGGTCGACTACATGGGAGTCCAGCAACATAGCCATTACGCTAACTGCTGGTCCCCATCGTTATTATTTTTTAAATGTGACCAAAGAGAGAGACAGAGAGAGAGAGAGTGAGAGCGCAAGCCACCAGGTCTGGGACTCAAACTGTGGTCAGTCAGGTGGGAGTCCAGAGCCTTCATCACCATGCCACCCACTGGGCCGATTCCCAGGCTTTGTCTCAGGATGCCACTCCAGTGACAGAGTTGGGGATTTTCCCATCTTGGTGGGCTCAGCACCCAGCACTCCTCTCTCTGGGGAACCTCTCTGGCCAAGTGATTAAGTCAGCTCGACCCAAGGTAATCTCTGTGACGCCGTTCCATTTCACAGACGTGGAAGCTGAATTTTTTTTTGAGCACCAGGTCGAAGGGTCTACAGGTAGCAGACTTCAGCCCAGTGCAGAGTGATTCCAAGCCCTTTGTGCTCAGGTGACCGCCTTCCTTACAATGTCCCGGGGGTACCCGTTATGTAAAGGATGAAGTCCGCGTTCCTTAGAGCTGCACAGGAGTACCTGACACTCCACCGCAGCCTGGCCCGACCCATCTCTTCTTTTGCACACTACTTTTTCCTTATCTCAGAGCTCTGGAAATTTCACACGACTGCATGTCTCAGGGGCTCTGCATGGCTCCTCGCCTGCTCAGAAGTACTGACCTCCCCTTTCTGGAGGAACCGCTCCGATGCCAAGAGCAGACCGAGGTCAGTAATCACCCATTGTTCCACGGGGCCTTCTCAGACACAGTTCCTATTGCCATAGTTATCTGTTCACATATGTGTCTGGCCTGTTGCCCTGTGTGCATGCTGAAGGCTAAACCCATGTTGAACAGTCATCCTGACAGGCCAACTGATGCCGTGGTGGTTAAGGCACTGGACTCCCACACAGCCAACCACGGTTCAAGTACGAGACTTGGCAGCTTACTTTCTCACTTTCCCTCTCTCTCTCTGGTCAAGTTAAAAACAATAATAATAAATAAAATAATGCTTTAAAAAAAAAAAAAGAAGTCACCCTTACATCAACACAGTACCAAAGACACTAACTTGCTGGTCGTCAGCTGAGGGGAACTGTCTGTAAACTGAAGGCCTTCATCATAAGAAATACCAGAAGTGGTTTGGCCATGGTGGTATAGGTGGTAGGGCACCGCCGTGCAGTGTGGGAGCATGTGGGAGCCATATGGGAGGCCTGGGTTCAAATCCTGGTTCAACCTGAACATGCAGAGCACAGCTGCACATGCTCATGATCCTGCTGGCCTGGTGGCTGGGGAGGAGCACAGTGCAGCGAGACCCATCAAGGGTCCTTGTTTCTCTCTCTCTCTCTCTCTCTCCCTCCCTCTCTCTCAAAAGAAATACACTTTACAAAAAGGAAAAAGGAATAGCAGTGTGATGAAGAGGCTCATCTCCATAGGCAGGGAGCACTAAGTAACCCACAGCTCCCATAACGGAAGCTAGTGTGGATAGGGCAAGGGCTTGAACCTCCCCAAACAAAAAGTAACCCAGTGTGGATGCAGGCAAGCGAATGGAGGAAAGGGCCACTAGGAGGGCTAGAGGGCTAGTAGGCAGCACGTAACCTGATAAGCACACTTGCATGCATAGTTCTTCTACTAGTCAGCTGTCTTCTTTCTCTCTGACTTTAGACTTAAGCATTTCTGATAAATTCAGCAGTGTATACATGTGTGTACATACATGTGTGTACATGTACACATCTAGGGACAGGATTAAAGGACAGGGCGGTAAGCCGATGTGTTTGGTCGTGTTTCCACGGCATGCTATTACACTTGGAGATGTGACGTGTAGGAAGAACGGCTGAAGATACAGAGCAGGGCACATTACGAGGGCCTAGTCGACAGTTCTCTGGGCCAGCGTCGAACCTTGTGCATTAACAAGACATGATGATGAGACCTCTGGGCATCCCTATCAAATGCTGCTGTACATATAATTTACTATCAAAGTATGCACATAGCAGAATTATTGATATTAGCATGTTTGTAAATATATGTCTATTTATAAATGATCTAAGAAAAATGATTCATGGTATTTTGAGAACTTTTCAGTTGTTAAGGAGAAAGAATCTTATGAACTTTCCAACTAAAAAAAAAAAAAAAAAAGCAAAATCCTTCATTAAGCTCTCTGGTCCTTGGCCAGGCATCGGGTCTCTGACCACAGAATATGAACTAACACCAATGGGAGGTTACTAGAACGCTATCTCCTCAATTCCCTTGAACAAACACCACTCAAGGCACAGCACACCCCTGCGCCAACGAGAACAAGAGGTCACACACAGGACTCAAGCAAAGCCAGTGGCTGCTGTGTGCCCAACTGACATCGCAGACAAGCCGGGGCAAAGACAGCAAAATGCGATCTTTGTTTCAGTCTTTAAAAAAATACTGCAGTCCAAAACCAGTTTGGACTCTGAAGACCTACTACGTACAAGGCATCAGAGCTAAAAAGTTCTGAGGCTGTAACACGGGGCGTAGGCCTGTCCGCACGAGCTTCCCACTTGTCACACAGCCAGCTTCCCAAGGAAGGGACTGTCTGTCCATGGATTGCGTACCTTCCTGGCCAGCTCAGCTCAGAGAAGAGACAGACCTGTTTGCCGGGACGCGACGTGAAAAATTAGGGCTCCTCCAGCCTGTGATGAGGCAGCGACTGCCTCGCTGTGGCCGCCAATGCAGAACATTCTTTAAAGTGAAGTCTTTCTAAAGTATACTTAAGCTACATGAATCACATTTAACAAAAGACAGTAAAATATTGTATCCTCTCTCTCAAATACCACTCTCCTCCTAACCCTGATAATGTTTCCGTCCAGTTTCAGACACATTAGTTCTGTCCATTGGCCAGATGATCAAATGCTTTGTAGATGCCCTCTTCTACTTCTTCCTCAGATTCTTAGCTCCAGAATTGGGTGGACATTCCCAAAGAGTGAAAAGTCAAAGTCTAACGCATCCAACCTTTAGTGTCTGGCCTTTGTTCCAGAGTGCCCTAGCCGTACCCTGCCACCCCGACTGCTTCATCTGTAACTTACCCGTTCTGCCTACCTCCTGTCTTTGGGGTAAATTAGCCTTCCTTTCAAGGAGGCCCTCTGCCCCGCCCGGGCCCTCCCAGGCTTAGTATGGAGAAGACAGCTCAGGACAAGACTGCAGCGTGGCAGAGAATAAGCCACTCTTCAACGTACAAATTAGACTCACGTGGCCCAGCTATAGAAGCAGTAAATAAGGTCTGGGTCGTTGCCCACAGCTCTGGAGAACAAACAGAAAAGCAGGACCTACTGTCTTTATCCCCAAGTAGGTCATCGATTGACACTCACCCATCACTGAGGCCCTAACTTCAGAAGAGACCCACGTGTCCATCACACAATAAAGAAAAGCTGTCCAACACCGAGCCCAGCCTTCACATGGGAATATCTAGGGCACCAGGAAGACTTTCTACCAGGCCTGTCATTGGCGCTGACCTTCGGGGAGGCAGAGGGTCTGAGACCTAAAGCATCTAGCCAAAAAGACAGATGAAAGGCC